GACTAATTATTAACGACTTATTAACGACTTTTCCCTATAATAATAAGTTTAACGAGTCCACGGCATCGCTCGAACTTATCGTGTCTGGCTGAATAGTCAACTCCCAGCCGAATGCGCTACTTTTTGTAAATTTCAAGTCTTTACAAACTTCCTTCTTTACGTAATAAGATTGATGTGTCTCGTAATGAAATTATGACTCAATTAACTCAGGCAACATGATCAAAATATATTTGCGACGCATAAGAAACTTCTTAAATTAGATGATGAATGCTTACGTTTAAGAAGCCAAAATTGAAGACTTCTAATGAACCGTACGCCGCACAATACGGCGTACGGGATACCTTTATTACTGCGGAAAACTTTACTGTGCATTATTTTGTTTACTTTAATCAGCTATGAACTAGATCTTTTAACCCGAATCTCTGAAGCCTAATTGAAATTCTTTTCATTAGCTACTTTAATAGAACGCGATGAGAATAATAACAATGTACATTTTGCGTACTCTTTTTTTGTGACAAATCGACATAAACCTTTTCTAAATTGTTGATTCTAGAGTGTTGGAAATATTTATTTATTTTATTTAATGAATTAATCGATATTCCTAATTTGAATAAGGTTTTCAGATTTTATAGAGATACAAAACAAAAACTTTGCAACAAATGATAGAAAACTTTGTTCAGAGTTTGTTTACAGATTTTGTAACTTTACATTATAAAGTTACCTTATTTAAGTCTCCTCAATCCTTTAAAACGCATAAATTAGCTATATAATTAGAAAGTCATTGAAATTTGCTGTTTGTTTGCTTTGCTACGCGTAGCGGACACGCTGGCCACGCATTCATCGGATACGCGTGCGTGAGCTCCTCTACAGACCACCGCAAACCTGAACTTAACGCGAGGTCAAGTAATCCATTATTATTCATGATTGAAACTCGATGAACATAAATTTTGCGTTCAAATTCAGCGTACCCGAGTGTGCGTGTTTCCTTCAACGCGCGACCAAAACAAAAACGCACGCTCAACCAAATTTTAGAGTGTTGATGGGGCTACCATGTTTTTGTAGCGCCTCGACAATGTTTGCGGAAGCTCGCACAGATAGTTTTATGCCATAATGGGCAAGCGTGGCACTTCGTTGGTGCAGCGAGTGAGGAGGAGTGCCAACAGTGCTAGCAGACTATGAGTCTCTGTTACTTGGAATAAAATAAATATAAAAAAAACGACTGACGTGGCGGTGGCTCGCCAGCGAGGCAACTCGACCGAAACGCATTCCCCAAGAGTGAACGTGTAGCCACAAGTATGGGTAGCGCGTAACTGACTAGACGTGCCCTAATACGCCCTATCCGTACGCAGCTTTAGGTTGTTGAAATAATAAAAGAAATTTGTAATAAATAGAAATTGTGATATAAATATTATGCTTCGTTTCCACTTAACGCTCAAAAAAGTTCTAAACAAGCAAACATTTATTTGTTCGCTAAATGAGATACATCAGAGTATGCGAACGAGTTCGTGCAAGGTTCAGCAAATGTTCGCTAGCTCAATCATTCAATGAAAACAACGCAACTCCCAACGAACACATGATTTGAGCATTCGCAAACTGCAATTTGAAACTTGGTGGGTATAGGATCGTCAGTTCTGTTGTATTCAGACGAATATTGTACTTGAGCAGCCATACAAACTTTAGTTCAGAACAAATGTTCATCAGCCATCTAGTAAAAAATAAGTACTAGTAGCTTTCAGTGAACACTATCAAATCGGCAAACATTTAGTTGATCAAATGTATCTACGGTAACTTAGTGGGAACGTAGCATAAGGCATGTATAGCGATTAACTATAGAACAGTATTTTTAATATTTAACTAAAAACTGTGAGTTTATCACTTACATCCGCTTATCCAATATGTGTACCTACATAGCGTTTTCGACCACAGGCAATTATTATTTAGATCATTATTAATATATGTATAAGGTATGCACTGTAATATTCTCACGGTAAAAGTTAGCACGTTCGTTAAACGTACCGTTTTGTGTATATTAAAAAGTCGGCTCACGGATGCTGTTTTAATGTGTTTAGCTCGTCGGATTTGCAACAATGGAGTTTCAGCGGTGGATTAAAGTAAATAATGTTGGGAGTTTATTTAAACCTTCACGCAGACAGACCATAATTTTCCAAGTTGTGCTATTGTGGATGTTGTTATGTTACAAAGTTACCATTTAAAGAGATACTCTTAATGGTCGCAATCATATTACAGTTATATTTTATATAAAACAATACGTATACTTGTGTCAATAATTCAGTTATATACGTCACCCGTAGAAGAAAGAAGCATCTTGTGACTTGTGTTTATTATAATTTAAAATACTTACATATAAAATTAGTTTATCGGATACGTTACCACATTTGTATTTTTTATTGACAAAACCGAAACCAAAAGAGCATATGCAGATACGAAGCAAGAGGTATGTGATGATAAATAATAACTGTGCAAATCCCTTTTTGCTATCGGAACTTAGCACCTTTTCTCTTGTTTTTGGCTTCAGACAAGTAAAGGAAAATAAATTTGTGAAACAAGAGTAGTTTATGATTACAGAGCACTCTGGATATGCGATAAATATCAGAAGTGGAGTGCCCGAAGGGAAGACATATCGACACGTATTTCGCAATGGCGTAGTGTAGTACGCACGTACTATCATCAAGACAGTCCTGCTACGGCCAGCTAACGGTAGTGAAGGAAACTTCAAATAAATCCAACGATTGAGATTATAATACTATAATTTCATATTAGTACAAGGTAAGTAAAGAGAATGTTACAAAAGTAAAATAGTGTTATATTCACTTTACGAGTTGCGTACGTACAAATGCGAGAGTTTGAACGCGAGTAGTAATACCAGGCAACAAAATTTAAAAGCATTAGGTGCACATGTTAGCCGAAATTAAACTAAACAACACTATTCTCTCAAACCTAATGGGTATCTTGAGGATTTTAGGAAAGCTGCGCCGACAAAAGTTATTAAACTACTTACAACTTAGATGATAAAACTAAAAGATTATTAGGTCCATAATACGACATACCAGAATAGCCGCCCTGGAAGATAGCCAGTTAACAATAACTAGTTTATATGCAGCCGTGATGAGATTCCGTCTGAACTCGCAAACTCGGTCCGCTGAGTGTTTTATAGCACTTTCCACTGATATTAACTTTACACTTCCTTTTTAAGTTTCCAAACTTAATATTAGTAGATTTACGAGACCGTTGTAAAATTTTCGTAATTACAAAAATCTTTTGCGTAGTAAATTCCTAAGATTAATACAATAATAATAGATGGTTGCATCGAGCACAAATTAACTAAATTTACACGAGTGCATTAAATTACACACTTTAGCAAGGTGCGTAATTGCATCTACTATTTACTCTACTTTTATCTTCTCTACTTTTATGCAATTGTATAATGGGGAATATGAAACCGAATGTGTGTTTATCACGTGATTATAGTAGGTACCAATCGCATGAGTGTTTTAATACCTAATCATAAGTTCTAATCTACACCCACGATGCGAATCCTCTATAAAAGATTCAGAAACCATAGGACGACCTAAGAACTGAAAATTCATGAAAATTTTTATGTCTGTGGTAGTGAAACGCACGTGAATAACAAATGACAATGTTCTTTTTATACAGATACCACGCATATCGAGCAGTAATAGTTGTGGCTGTCTGATGAGTTCCCTTTGCGCGGAAGGGATCGGAAAAGCAAATGAGTGTTATTATGAAATTTAATACAACATGTTATTATCATCCGTTAGGATGATATTAGTGAAGATAAAATAAATTAAACTGAAAATTTAATAACTCCAAATGTTTCTTTCTCAGTGCATATAAACTAGAAATATTAACTATATTTTCATTTTTAATCATTTTATTGCTAGATGTGATGTATAAATGTAAAGAAAATTTTACTGGAAATAAAAATTCCACGCGGATCAGGCAGCAGACGGGCTTGGTATACATCTAGCAGTAAAATAAAAAAAATAAAACATAGTTAATATTTCTAGTTTAAGATTAATAGTATTAATTTTTGTAATCATTTCTCCACGCACAAGTACTTAATTTATAACTAACGATTTGAAAAATTACCTCTTAAACTACAAATATGTACTAAGTGCAGAATACAGATTGATCCTAAAAGAATTTCAAGCGTTTGGTATGTATGCCCACAAAATTGATTCATACCTTTGCCATTGAATTTGGGAATCTTGGCGTACGACTTAGCTACTCCAGTCGTCCACTCGAGATTGTGGAGTCTGCCAACTAGAGTGCCATTCCTGAGATATAGAGACTAATCGTTGCAGCACAATGCACTCCACGGAACAAAGGAATGTAAAACTTCCATTTCTGATTTGTAAGTGCCGTTTTATCGCTGAAAATGATTTTCAATCTACGTAATGGAGGCGTCTAACTCCAACTACAACTATGGTTTATTCAAACTTGTATCTAAGCTATTTGAGTAACAAATATCCTGTAATATGTATCGTAAAAAAAATGTGGATTTACGTATGTCAACAAAAACGCTGTATGCACGCTTTTTAAACATTATAGTACACAATTCAAATATCAATTATTTCAATGAATTAATGTGATATAGAATTTGGTTTTGGTATAAAACATAATATTATTAAGAAATTGACAATGTTAACAACAGTATGTTTCAACTTATTAAAATATTTTATGAATAAACTACACACATTTAAAAAACTAAATGATTTGCAATATTTCAATAAATTACTCTCAAGCCTCGTTCTCAATATTAGCACATAACACAATGTAGTTTCACATATAGATTCGCTATATCGCACTGTATTTCGGAGAAAGTAAATAAAATCTATCGCAAGGTAGATTGAAAAATCTTTTGCACGGTACCGGCGTTCCTGTGACTACTCGTCATTCACATTTTAGTGCCTCGCTGTTTCGCATCGTACTTAAATATTTTTTTATATTATTGATTCTTACTGCGTATTATCATTAAAAGTAGTTAAATTTAATATGCCTAAAAGAAAACGTGACAAGTGTGATGAAAGTGAATATGAGTATTTAAGTAAAAAACTGAAGAAATTACAAAAGCGAATTAGTCATTGTCGTCGCAGAAGTTATACATCATCGGATAGTGATAATTATATGCCTCGTAAACAACAAGGTGAGTTTTTAATGCATTTATTACACATGACTTATTAACTACGATTAAAAATAGAATGAATCCTTTTTTTTCCGAGTGATAGTTGACATTACATTTTAAATTGTGCGCACGGTTGGTGTATATAATAATAGTTAATAGTGCCATTAACAAAATAATTATTTTAAATAATGGAAACACGGACTGTCTATATGGGGCTTTCCAATTCCATAATCAAATACATACTGTACGGATCTACCTGTGGGGTATTTCCATAGTTATGTATACTGGATTATAATAAACATTATAGTGTGCACGTCATAAAAAATGACCCGAGTATACAGGGTATGCGTGTTTCTCACTATGGAGTCTCACTACCTACCCATAACAACTTACCTTAAGAAGGTTAATTATCTTGTTGCAGAGAGCAACTTATGCACTTCCGTTGAAAATAATATACCCGGATGCTCATACTGGAGCGATGCCTACCACTCTGATGTATCAGAGGTAGTGGAGCAGGCCAACCTGGAAGCTCTGCCGCGTGCAGCACCCACACCCGAGGCTAACGCTATTACGCCACTCGATGTCACCACCGGCGTCGCACCGCACAGTAGCACTCCGCCACCAGCTCCTTTTACTCCGCCGTCATCCCCCGCTATTGTTACATCACCAGCATTTATTCCTACTGCTGTTACTCTCTCGCAAGTGCCAGTAGAAGAAATATCAGTCACAGAACAGATTTCTGAGTTGGATTCGTCCCTGATGGAAATTTTAGGCAAAGATCCAAGCTGCATTGAAGAATATGGTGACAATATTCAAAAAGATCTAGCAATTAGATTAAATCATATTGCAACCGTTGGCCTTTCTAAAGAAATACGTAAGGAACTAAAAGATAAATATCTAGTTCCCGCTAATTGCAAATTAATTAAAGGACCGACTTTAAATCCAGAAATCAGGGCTTCCTTAATAGAAAGTCAGGCCAAAAGGGATAAAGGCATAGAATATAAGCAGGAGCTGACATCGTGTGCTTTGGCATCGCTCGGCGCAGCAATTACACTGCTTCTCTCATCGGATAGTAAAAATCCTGAATTGCTGAAATTACTGATAGATACGGCTCGCACATTAGGTGATATACAACACACTGACTCAATCTCTCGACGATTTTTCATTCTATCAACCGTCAAAAAGGATCTTAAGGATCAGCTAGAAAAAACCAAAATAGATGAGATGCTCTTTGGTAGTAATTTGCAAGAAGTATTAAAATCGGCGAAGATAATCAATAAGTCAGGAGCCGATATTAGAGCAGCTTCAATACTGAAGTCTACAGTCCAAAGGCCAGGGAAAGCGGCGAACAAGCATTTAAACTTCAGGCCTCCCCCCGTGTCGCGCAGAGCTCCGCCGGGGGGCACGAGGGGTGCGCGCGCGACATACTCAGCTCCGATTCCGAGGCAAACGACGACGGCGACGCAGCACAGCGCCACCAAGCCATCGTCGCGGCAGCCGCCGCCACGCTACAGGCGGTAGACTCGGTAAAGCCAGCTGGCCGCCTTTCTCACTTTTACAATGAGTGGTCTATGATCACCAGTAATCCAATAGTTCTCTCATGGATAGATGGTTATAAAATTAATTTTACATCTCCAGTCATTCAAACAGTTTTGCCCACGGAACCAAAATATTCAAAAACTGAATATAGAGCTTTCAAAGAATCTATTGATAATCTTTTATCCATTGGAGCAATTTCTTTGTGTAAGCCATGCGACGGTCAATACATTTCTAGTGTATTTCTTATTCCCAAATCAAATGGTAAACAACGTTTAATATTAAACTTAAAACAGTTAAACAAATTTATTTCAACACAACATTTTAAGCTTGAAGATTTGAGAACAGCTTTGAAATTAATATCCAAGGATAGTTTTATGTATACAATTGATTTGAAGGACGCCTATTTTTTAATTAAAGTTCAACCCAACTCAAAGTATTTGCGTTTTAAATGGAACGAAAATCTTTATGAATTTAACGTTTTACCATTTGGTTTGAACACAGCGCCGTATGTGTTCACAAAAATTCTCAAGCCCGTTGCAAAACTGCTGAGATCTAAGGGACACTTATCGACTTTTTATTTAGATGATATTTACCTAATTGGTCGAACTTATGACGAATGTTTACAAAATATTGAAGACACCAAATCTTTATTGCAAAGTTTAGGATTTATCATAAATACTGGCAAGTCTTTATCTGTACCCACAAAATCATGCAAATTTTTAGGTACTATAATTGATTCAGAAAAATTAGAAGTTCGATTGCCAGAAGAGAAAAAAGAAAGGATCAAAAAAGAAATTACGAAGTATAAAAGGATGAAAATCGATTTTTAGGTCTATTAACATCTGCATGCCACGCCGTGGATTATGGCTGGCTATATACGAAAGATTTTGAGAGATGTAAGTTTTTAAATTTAATAAACGACGATAACTATGATAAAGTTATGACACTGCCAGATATTTTATCCCCGGTTTATGATTGGTGGTTAAGAAACATTGATAAATCTAAAAGTAAAATAAAAAGCGATGAGTATTCCTTAGAGGTATTTACTGATGCCTCAACAACGGGATGGGGTGCAGCGTCTGGTCAGGAAACTGCCAGTGGTCCTTGGGATGATCAAGAACGTTCTATGCATATTAATTATTTAGAAATACTTGCAGCTTTTCTTGGCCTAAAAGTTTTTGCACAAAAGTATCAAAATTGTCAAATTTTGTTACGGATAGATAACACAACAGCAATATCTTACATTAATAGAATGGGTGGAGTTCAGTTTCCCCATTTAACTGATGTAACACAAAAACTGTGGCAATGGTGTGAAGAGCGAAAAATTATGGTCCATGCTGACTATATTCGTTCATCCGATAACTTTATTGCTGATGCTGAATCAAGAAAGTTACACCCAGATATCGAGTGGGAACTTTCTCAGGACGCGTACAATAATATAATATCTCACTTTGGTACTCCTTGCATAGACTTATTTGCGAGCAGAACTAACCGCAAATGCAAAAAATACATTTCTTGGCATAAGGATCCCGATGCTTACGCAGTCAACGCGTTTACTATACCATGGACTGAATTTTTCTTTTACGCTTTTCCTCCAATATCTATTATTTTAAAAACCTTACGTAAAATTATTAACGACAAGGCCACAGGAATAGTTGTAGTACCTCAATGGCCTACACAAGCTTGGTTTCCTCTTTTTAAAACACTTCTTACTTCAAAGCCTATGATTTTTCGTTCTCATAGTGACTTAATAATTTCTCATTCTAGCAATCGCGCGGTTCACCATCGAATTACACTGATTGCCGGGATGTTGTCCGGAGATCACTATTCCGAAGAGGAATTCACCCGCAATCAATCCCCATAATGCTCGCGTCCCTATCACAAAGCACGGTGAAACAATATGACACGTGTCTCAGGAAATGGTTTTTATACTGCCAAGAGAACTCCATCGACCCTTATGATGCCTCTACAAATAATATCCTTGGTTTCCTAACGCATCTTTATAACACCGGTGCTCAGTATGGCACGCTTAACAGCTGCCGATCTGCCCTCTCGTTATTAATAGGTCAAGATATAATAAACAATAGTTTTATAAAAAGATATTTCAAGGGAGTTTTTAGGTTGCGACCCACGTTACCAAAATACAATTTAACTTGGGATACAGATCAGGTTTTAAATTATTTATCGAAATGGTTCCCCAATGATGATTTAAATCTAGAAAATCATAGCAAAAAGTTAGTGACTCTAATAGCACTGATAACAGCTCATAGGGTTCAGACAATATCCAAAATTAATATTAATAATATTAATATATCTGAATTCGGAATTTGTATTAAAATTCCTGACCTGATTAAAACCTCTCGTGTGGGTACGATGCAACCAGTACTTTCGTTACCTTTTTTCTCACAAAGGCCTGAAATATGTCCTGCAAGTGCCCTACGTACATATCTTGATAAGACCAAGAGCCTACGTGAGGGCCAACAACTATTGTTTATTTCATACAGAAGACCGCATCGGGAAGTAGGTTCACAGACGTTAAGCAGATGGGTAAAGAGTGCGTTAGAAAGCAGTGGCATTGACACTTCGGTATTTACCGCCCACAGTACCAGACACGCGGCCACCTCTAAGGCATACAGGTCAGGAGTTAGTCTGGATGTTATAAGACGGACTGCGGGTTGGACTCCCAATTCGGTTATTTTCGCTAAACACTATAATAGATTGATTACAAGTAATGTAGTTATAGATGGCGATTTCGCTAGAAATGTTTTGAATACAGGTCAATAATTATTATTCTAAAAAAAAAAAAAATAGCTTTCTGTGTGATTGATTTTATATAATATCTAATGAACGCCAAGTATTTGGTTTCCTAATAAATAAGATAAAAATTATTTTGTTTAAGTTCTAAATAAGTAATAGCAATTCATAAATAATTGAATAAATCATGTTCGTTAGATTTACTTTGATTTTTTTTATTACTGTCCATCAAAGAACCTCTTAGGTACCTAGGTACCTAAGAGGTTCTTTACAAATTCACGATACACAAATTCACGACGGTTTTCTCTCAACATCTACATTGTGTTATGTGCTAATATTGAGAACGAGGCTTGAGAGTAATTGATGATTAAACGAACTTACCTGTACGTGAAGTTCGATCACAATTACTCGAAGAGCCTCGTTCGAAGATATTAGCACCCCTCCCTCCCTTTTAGGCTACCTAGACCCGGGCGTCGTGAATTAGTAAATAGCTCAGCATTACTCTAAACTTAATGACGAGTAGTCACAGGAACGCCGGTACCGTGCAAAAGATTTTTCAATCTACCTTGCGATAGATTTTATTTACTTTCTCCGAAATACAGTGCGATATAGCGAATCTATATGTGAAACTACATTGTGTTATGTGCTAATATCTTCGAACGAGGCTCTTCGAGTAATTGTGATCGAACTTCACGTACAGGTAAGTTCGTTTAATCATCAAATATACTAGGAAAAATACTCTAAGTTGAGAGTTTGCCAGATATCCAGAAAATCAACGCTTTTGTTACTTAACACCCATTGTCAGAGCCACATAAGTAACAATATAAGCTGGGATTTATTATTGACACCATAAACATAATTTCAATCTTATGTCTGGATATCCATAATTTGTAAAGTTTTCTCCTTACCAGTTACACCCTTTATATTCACAATAAACCACGTATAAACATGCCACTATTTTTCAGAAACACATTTCTTGTTTGTCTCGTCTTTTAAGGAAATAATAAGCATTACTCTTGGTCGTTTCAAACTTTTGAATAGTAAAATAGTAGAAGCGAATAAAATAATACCCCGGAGAGCGCTTGTCAGTACAACGTCCCAAGGTCCTAGTTATAAAAGTGTACCGAGGCAAGAAGCAGATGCGACAAAGTACACATTAAGCGGTTAAAGCAAATAGTGGGAACTGGTGCTCGGACAGATGCTATAAAAACTGGGGAACGTCTGTAATTTCGTGAAACTATTGTTTTCAGGAACAATAGTAATTTATGCAATGTTGTATTAAGAGGGGTATTAAAACACGTTTGATAATACACGAACGTTTAAATACGTTATTATAAACAGTTGCATACAAGACTTTATCTACATTTAGATGACTGAAACCATGGGGTGTTGTAAAAACTAAAAAAAACATGAAAATTATCGGCGCTATGTTGGTAAAACGCGAAAAACAATGTTCTTTCTTTTAAATTCCTACAAATTTATCTCACGCATTGAACAGTAAAACTCGTGTCTCTGTCTGATGAGAAAACCCTTTGTGCGGAAGGGAGCGTAAAAGCGAAGGAGTTTTATTATGAAATTTACAGTATAATATTCGTTTAAAATAATGAATCCCTACTCATGATTTATTGATGTGCTATTCACGGTCATAGTCATAGGAAAGACTAATGCCGATTTCATTCATATATATTTTTAATATCCTATTACTTTATAGATAAATGCTTAGAAAAATTAAATAACAAAGGGCAATGGCCAAAATAGGCTCAGCTTGGACAAGTTGCTTGGCGAACAACAATTGTACAATTTTATTTCCAATTTCTATAACCGTAATATAATTGAGAGTTTCATTAATAATACAATAAAATTAATTAAAATAATACGATCACTTCCTTCCATTAGTTATCTAATGTCACATGATCGAAAACGGCTGTAATTGGTCAAATTTAAGTAAGCATCACGTCATGTCAGCGAAAACGGCAAGGATTGGCCAGATCTAAGATGACATTTGCAGACAAGGGCTGCGTTCCAAGTGCAACGTAGGTCGAATTCGATAGAAGTTTCATACATTTATAGCAAAATTAAAACGTAAGAATGAAAAGTGCACTTGGAGCCTAGGTTAAGAACGCACCCAAGCTGTCAAAAGAACACTGGGTTTTTTTATTGTTTAGACATTTGGTATTATGTATGTGACGTTCCACGCCGTATTGCGCAATATTATTTTTTCGCGGCATATTTAAAGAATAGATGTTTATTTTCAATTTTATTTATTTGTGTAACAGAAAATGTAGCAACCCAGTGTCTAGACATCGTATTGCTAATATAATGACTGCAAATATTATAGATCTTTGCGAAAATACTTTCTTTGTGCATATGTTACCTTTTTTTTCATCGCGGTGCTAAAAATTGTATTAAAGGATACTGATACAAAATTATAATGATTCAAAGGTTCTGGGTAGTTGAATCTCCATGCAATGTTCAGTTTAACTTGTTAAAATGTCTGGTCCATGTTAAGCTAAATTCCCGTACAGAGTGGGCATTACCCTTTGCATAGAAGATTAGAAAACTTAACATACTATACCCGTTAGTAACCAATAACAAAATAATACTTTTTCGCTAAAAATATGGATCTTATTGCTAATAGAAAACGTGCTATCAGCGTCAAACAGTAAACACCGAAGAATCGTTGTTTATACCTCAGGAGCCATGTTTTTTTTTGTAATTTACTCACCTCCATTGCACTACCACGTGGTCCCATTGGGAGGTGGCATCGCCTCAGTTTGTTAAATCTGAAACAAAAAAAGCAACACTGAAAACGCTTATGCTTAAGACCTAGGTCTAGCCGATTTTATGCTTGAATTGGAGCGCCCGTTTGGGGAAGTAATCTCCACCTTACAGAAAATCGCAGTAAAATAACACTACTGTTTGATGGTGTTGTGTTTCTGTCGGTGAGTACAGTTCTAGGGCTCCACGGTGTAGGGGATTGGGTCATGATAGGCAACGGCGCGGCATGAGCAATATTTTTGGCAACGCAAGCGCCTGAAGGCTATGGTGACCGCTTATCATCAGGCGGGCCATACGCTTGTTTGCCACCATTTAACATAAAAAAACTTTTATTAAAAAATCTTAATAAATTTGCATTAGTCTAAAGATAAATTCCCACAGATAACACATTTGGCATTACTTTGGCATGGTATGATGGTACAATGGTATGTATGGTATGATGATACAAATGGTATGATGTTGTTCGAGAGCACTAGTAAAAATTTGCCTTATTATGGCGCCTTTTTCACCGGATCTCTGTGCACAGATATATAGATTCTTTATCGAGTGCATGTAATCAAGTGAGTTTCCGCACTGAGTCGTTTCCATTCAGATTCTTTACCGAGCACATACATACTTCTCTGAACCAAATCCTACCGAAGCAATCGACTCACCCGCCCAACGTGACGGCTTTTAAACAAAATGTCAAACGCCGTAACAATCAAAATGATACCGTACCGAAACTGAATCGGTAAAGAATCTGTACATACTCGGTACAAAACCAAAAACGTAACGATCCGGTGAGAAAGGCGCCTTACCTTGACAAAGAAAGAAAAATTTGCAGATGACAAATTATTTTTTTTTTTTCAATCCCACTCTATTATGGGAGATAGACGATTTTTAATATTTATTGATAAAGTTATTTTTGCTGGAAAAGAAGAACTATCCCTCTATACTATATACAGGGTGTCCCGTAAGTAATGGTCCAACCGTAAACCCTAGGTAGTTCACGCGATTGCCTACAACTAATTTGAACCATTTTTTGAAATTCATTAGGGTTGCCAAAAAAATTATAAAAGGTTTTTTTTTTTCAATATTTCTGTCTTGAATTGGTTTTTTTAATAGCATTGATGCAAATATTAAAAATTTTCAAACTTTTTTCCGCTAATATGTAGCTAGGAACTAATTTAATTAATTTAGTTTTTTTTAGATATTCGCCTCTTCTTCGGATTCATTGTATTATGTTTGCAACTTTACTAGTTAACCATAAGTTTTATACCAATTTTGAAACCTTACTTAATGCACATGTTTTTAAAATAATGAAACACTTTGGTGTCATACTTTTTTTTTACATTAGGAGCTTTTCAATTTAGGTCATCCAAATAAAATACAATAAAATATTAAGTTACTTCAATATTTTTGAGAGAAATACAATGTCATTATGCAAATGTGATGAACGAGTTGATAGTCAATCTATCTAGCTACATTTTAGCGAAAAAAAGTTTGAAATTTTTTAATATTCCATTAATAAAACCAATTCAAGACAGAAATATTGAAAAAAAAAAGTTATCATTTTTTTTGGCAACCCTGATGAATTTCAAAAAACGGTTCAAATTAGTTGTAGGCAATCAAGTGAACTACCTAGGGTTTACGGTTGGACCATTACTTACGGGACACCCTGTATATTTATATATATATATATACGAAAGTGTGTCTGTCTCTCTGTCTGTTACCTGTTTACGCTTAAACCACTGAACCAATGCAAATGAAATTCGGTATATAGATAGTTTGAGTACTGCGAAAGGACATAGGATAAGTTTTATCCTAGAAATCATCCTATCATCCTTTAAGAGGGTGAAAAGTGCGGTTGGAGTTTGTATGGAAAACCATCTTTTTCACGCAAACGAAAAGTAATTAAAAATTAAATTTTAATATAAATATAATAAACAGTTTATTTATATATTTAATCTATTTGACCTTCATATCGCAAATGGCGGACTAAATACCATTATGACATTCCCTACCAGTGTACAAGAAAGAACACACAGAGTTAATAAAACGGCAAAACAGATACTACCATAATATTGGTCACCTATCCGGTTGCTAAAATTAAAACTAAAATATACCCATATACTAAACATATTCCTAAATAACGAAAAATAAATATTAATCTGTCCAGAAACAATAAAAACAACGTAACAAACAGAAGCATTCCCCACTTACTGAAAATATTATTTGCAATAAAACCTTTTTCCTTACAAATCAAATTCAGGTAGATCTTATCCATCAGGATTGAAAGTTAAGCGACCAAGACAAATTTCATTTGTTTTCGAGGAGCGGATCGGAAAAATTGATTTCACGTGTGCGGGGATGGCAATTGACAACCACACACATATGTATACATAAACTTTCTGTTTGTTTTTGCAAGGAGATATTTGATGTTTCATTGCCTAACTTAAATCTTGAATTTTGC